AGCTGATTATATTGTTTTACGAGAGTTAGATTTCATCTTATTGACCTTTGTTTTCGATTCTTGCCTTTTGCCAGAAAATTACTAATCTAACTGACTTATTTCAATAATTCTATGAATTAATACATATCATTTTGATGCTTTCTTTATTCCAAAAAAATTAACTTCAAGCCTCTAGTTTCTTCCATGTTCACATATATCGAAACACACAATAAGAAAAAACGACCAGGCTAAAAACAATTAACAAACAGAACAAATGCATTTCGAAAATCGAAAATCGAAAATCGAAAATAGTTTACCTTGTCAGATTTCTCCTTCTCCGATTTCTCCTGTTCCGCCTTCTTCTTCAACTTCTCCAGCCTCTCCCTCTCCATTTTCTGTAACCGTCGAAAGCAATTTTTTTTTTAAATCGGATCAACAGAAAACAACATTATCCTAAATAAAAAAAATTCCAAAAAAAAAAAAAAAAAAAACCTGAATGTAGACGGTTTCCTGAGCGCGCTCTTCTTCACCGAGGACACGACCTTTTCCGTCGCTGAAGTAGCGAATGCCCGAAGCAGATGATCGCCAGCTGCTTTCCATTAAACGACACAGCTCACTGCGCGAAACGACAGATCGCAGAGCCATTTTTTCCCTCTCTCTTCTTCTCGTAACACAGTAGTTATCTATCAGGTGATTGATTTGATTACAGAAGTCAAACTTAACCCTAAGTTTTGTTTCCAGTTTGTTTATATACTGCAGAATCGAAAACGGTGTGCTGGACCGGGTTCGGATTCGGATTATCGATAGCTGGAATCGGGTACGCCGAACCTGGTTTTGGGAAACCGGGTGAATGTTCAAAGTCAAAGTCAAAGTGTACGCTCACGGTTTTAGGCACGATTTAACAATTCTAATTACTGAAATGCTAAATCCCACACGGAAATTACTAAATCATGGACATAATAAAATTTCCTTCTCTCTCTAAAATCCCAAACGTTCCCAAACGTGTCTATCTTTTTCTCTCCCCAAACAAGTTCTTCTTTTCGCCTCACGCTTGCAAAAAACATCATAGAATTAGTACAATAATCCGAGAATCGAACTTGAAGAAAATCTTCTCTAATTTATTCTACGACTAAGGTTATCATTTTATCTCAAATTTATTCTACAAATCAAGCAGGGTTTTTTTTTTCGGTGAAGGCGCGCCTGATAGCAAGCAGCACCATATATTTTGTTTTTTGTCTTTTTTTTTTCTTTGTTTTTGAATTGAATTCAATTACTTTATTTGTTATGGAAGGTGGTATAGGATATATAGAGAGAGAGTTGTGCCTACCATGAGATGACGTCCATGGCAGGCCAGTGCGTGTGTGGGATTTTCTTTGTGGTGGGGGGTGGGGCGGCTGGGTTAGAAGCAATAGATCTGTTTTTTTTTTTTTTTTTTTTTTAATTCAATTTAATTATTTCTTAAATATTTTAATAAATATTTAATGTTAATAAAATTTTAACAAATTTTAATACTTTATAAATACTGAATAAATGTTAAAAATACTTTCGAATTAAATAATTAGAAATTTAATAAATATTGAATACATGGTTAATAAATATTTAATAATTAATAAATATTGAATAAATTTTAATAAATATTTAAACATTTCGGTAACTTCATACTGCTTCTATGAGAGTTGTTTATGAATACTATATTTCGAAGTCAGAGGATGATTATGCTTCCCGTAAATTATAAAGAGTTTTCATTTTACCCTCTGCTTGTAGAACTCCCTTCAACTAGAAACTACAATTACATTTTTTTTTGTGTCAGTACATATTGTACTTTCTATATCTCTATTCTTTCGTTTCACCTGCTTTTTCCCAAACCGATCACAGGTAATGTATACTTTATCACAAAAAGTATGACCTATACTTAGCTTAATATCATGGCTTTCAGCTGTGTCTCTCGCCCATTGTATTAAATCGTCTCTACAATTAAACAATTATACCCCTCGAAAATATTCGAAATAATGAACTTCCCCATTATCCCGAAAAATAAATAAAATATAACAAAAACTAATTTAAAACAAAAAAACAAAAACGGATCGCATCTAAAGTAGAAGCGGACGCATGAAAGACGGCGCCCAAGTTGAACGCGAATACAGTGTACTGCACGCCCAACATGTGCGCGCTATCTGTTTCGTCTTCCAGGTTGTCTGCCCTCTGCCTATGACGATTTTTTGACAAAAAAATTAAAATCTTACATCCGATTGAAGTTAAAAGGTATTGAACTCATTAGTTGATGTAATTACGTAACAAAAAACGACTTTTGACGACTTCTTAGTATTTTGAAAACCCTAGAGAAAAAAGTTAGAGAGAAGTCGAGAAAATAGAGCGTAGAAAGAGAATTTTTGTAGAGATAAAATATTTTTTTATTTAAGTGCGGGATTTAGTAAATTTTAGTATGGAAAATCATAGAAAAAATGTAGAGAGAAGTTAGAGAAAATAGAGCATAGAGAGAGAATATTTTTTTATAGAGAGAGAATTTTTTTTATTTATGTACGGGATTTAGTAACCTTTAGTGTGGGATTTAGCACTCCCCTTCTAATTATGACTTCACTATTTTGTATTTTGGCCCAATAGACTCATTTAGCTCATTAAATGGGAACCCAGCTAAAGGCCTTAATCTGATTAAATCCCATGCGTAAGGCCCAATCGAACAATTCATTTAAATACAGGGACTATGTTGCAAAATTGCAAAGGCACCCCTAATGTTTTCCTTTTTCTTTTATTAGCCTCCCTTCCTTTTTCTCGACCCTTTGAATAATCATCCTTCTTCTGCAGATCGAAATACGCTCAAGATATTCTGTTTTAGAGAGAAGCAAATATGTATCACCCGACCAGAGGTGGTGTTCGCGGCGGTCGTGATCGTAAGCCCTATCTTCCCTTCCCCTTTTTCCCTCTAATTTTTAGGGTTTTCTGATTGGTTCGTGCTTTCTGTTTTTTCCGTGAATTTTGTGTAATTTTGTGGAATTTTGTGGAATTTTCTGTTTTTACTGGCTCTAAATAGTTTGGGATATAGTCGATTTTGCTTTACAGGAAGAAAGTAGAAGTTACTGTTAGAAGACCTAATATTATTCTGAAAAAAATTAATCTTTGAATTATATGAAAATCTGAACTAGGCCTTGTTACCATATACTTGAATTTGGAATTTCTGCTTAGATAACAAGTTTTAGGAAGTGATACGCACCTTCTTCGATTCGGTTTGTTGAAGTATTGTGTGGATGTAATCTTCTTTGCTCTACAATTAGGGTATTTCTGTAGGATTTTGATTTGTAACCATTGTTTATTTGCTCTGATATATGCGATACTGTGCTTTAAACTACACGAGTTTTAGCTTATCTTATCGCGTTCGTTTATACTGAATGCCGGCACAAAATATGTTCAGTTGCTCAGTTACCAACATAAGCTTGGGTTGTCGTTGTCGTTGGGGGTTTGTAGGTCTTATTTGAGAAGTAATAACTAATTTTTCTGGTGTTTCTCGATTAGTTATCATTGAGTTGGAAGGTGTGGTTTGAAGTTAGTAATTAACGATAATTTTCTCAACCGACAGTATTCTACTTCATCGATTGATGGTCAAACATTCAGGGTAGACTACAAATCATATCATTTAATTGCATTCTTTCTTGTAATCTTCTTGTTTGTGGGTTATCAAGTTGATCCGTGGATCTAGTTTAGGATTTATGTTTCAGGAGGAAAATGATTAGAAAGTAAAACTAATATTAAGCCGGATATAAGGTTGTAGATGATGAGTTCATTAGTCGTATTATCATTTCAGGCCCTGTAAACATGTTTTTCTTAATTATTTGCATCTATGATGAATTATCTAATACGTATTGCTTCTTCTCAATTGCAGAATTTAACTGGGACGATGTGAAAGTTGATAAACATCGAGAGAATTATATAGGTCACAGTCTCAAGGCACCTGTTGGAAGATGGCAGAAAGGTAATTAGTCTCTCCATTTTCCTTACTCCGTGTATGTACACTCGTCTAAGTTGTCTCTAATCTCTATGTATTCGTGTTACGAACTCTTCCAATTCAGAACATTTAGTAAAAGAATGTAGATATTGCTGATAGGTCTTTGGCTATAAAAAGGTGATGACTATCTCAATTTATCTTTCTCTTCGGTTGCCACCATATCAACCAAATATGCGCTACATTACGAAAATACGACATTTTTCGGTTTTAAGAGAACTTACACATTGAAATCGAAAACCCTCCTTTAAATTTGCAGGAATTTTGTTTTTTGAACTGGTTACGTTGTGTCTGACAAGCATATGGTGGATGAACATGATCAACAAAGTTGAAAGTTGATGTTTCAAATTTATTTTGCCATCGGGTGTTTGATCAATGGATATTATCATCCATCTAGATCTGCGAAAATGGATATGTAGGCTTATTCTAATGAATAACGTTGCAATATTCTGTTTGCGACATCTATCTGAGTAATGTGCATTCGTAACTCGTATTTATTTACGAGTCATGAAGTTGTCTCTTTTGATTGGGTCTTGGAGACATTTAAAAATACTAATTTTAATGAAATATTAATTCCAAGGGAAGGACCTCCACTGGTATTCTCGTGATAAAAAATCCAACGATTTAAATTCGGAGGCTATGAAAGAAGAGATACGAAGAATCAAGGAAGAAGAAGAGCAAGCGATGAGGGAGGCTCTGGGATTGGCTCCAAAACGTGCATCAAAATCTCAAGGCAATCGATTAGATAAGCATGAATTCGCCGAACTTGTTAAGCCATGCTCTACTGCAGAAGACTTGGGTGCCGGCCATGCAGAAGCAGCTCAGGTTCAAGGTTTCGGTTTTTCCGGAAGGTATTAATTAACTGAATATTACTCTGTTTTTTTTTTTTAAATAAAAGAATATAATATAAACTGGTGTTCTTTTTTTTTTTTTTGGAATATTTGCAGGGGTGTACGACCTGGTGAAAACTCGAGCTTGCCTACCCCAACTGCGAACCCTGTATCAGTTGAAAAGACGGATATACCCTTGCCAACTACAACATCTGCAAGGAAGGAAGAAAAAGAGATGGAAGATGAAAGTGGCAGAAAGAAGAGGAAGCACGAGGAGAAGAAACGAGAGAAGCATGAGAGACGGGATAAGAGACACTCTCGTGAATCGGATGATAAGAGGAAGCAGCACAAGAAACACAAGGAGAAACGAAGACATGATTCCGATTGACAAAAACCTAGATAAAAAATATTATGCCTATGTGGCATCACTGTGTAATTGCTGCTTTTCTCCGATCCTGTATAACTATGTATTCGAATTATTTGTCGTGCGATAGAAACTTGGATTTTCTGTGTTCGATTTTTATTTCGATTTTCTGGAAGATGTTGAAACTTGTTATGAGCTTTCGCAAGACTTGTACCTAAATTGTATTTTACTTTGGTTAGTTTAGTTGAGAGATTAATATATTATTATATTCTACTTTGGCTAATGAATTTTCTAAAGACTAAATAATATTATCTTGTCAAATATTATTATAATTATAATCATAATATAAATAAATATATATATTTTAATTAGTGTATATATATATATAGAGAGAGAGGCACAGAGCCCCACCCACCGTTAAATCAATTATTCTGGGAACCAAACCTCAAAAAAAAGGAAGAAAGAGAGTCCCCCACACACACTCCATCTCCATTCCTTCACCGAAGAAATTTCCTCTCTCAAACCCTAGTTCGATTCGATTTCACCCCCTTCTTCACTTGCAAACCGATCGTAGCGAGATCGGTCGAATTTATCCGATTGATTATCTGTATTGTAACACAGGGTGAATTAATTTTGGAAACAAACGAAGATGGTGTCGGCGAATAGGGAGATGGTGGTGTACTGCTTCGACACACTGGTGGCCAACTACAATGGCGAGGGAGCTCCTCCTCCCGCTTTCGACGAGGGTCAGCAGTAAGGAATTCGCCCCTCTTTCTCTCTCTATAATTTTGCATGTTTTCTTCGTCTTAAGTAAGCGTTTGTTATTATATGTGCTAAGGGCAATTGTGTTTGATTTTTTCAATTTCTGAGCTCGTTTTTTGGTGGATTTAGTGTGATGTTTGCAATTTTATGTAATTTCTGAGCTCGTTATATAGTTGCTGCTGTATATATATATATATATATATATATGCACATCAGTTTTCAATTCATATAAACAATTAATTAGTATTACTAAATATTCGGTTTCCATTCATATACAATCTTCACAAGGCAATTTCATTTAATTATGCATTCAAACCGAGTGAGGAATTTAGGGAATTTTGTAGTGTCTAAAAGGATAATTATAATAAATAAATAATAATAATAAAAACCCTTCATTTGTTCTCTCTTCTATAAAACCTAGTTGGTTTAGTTGTTCTCTGCCTAATTTTCAACAGTCTTTCTTCATCAATGGAAAACCACCCTCCTAATCATGTAAGTTTATTTTATTAAATTAATTAATGATTTCATGATTTCGTAATTTAAGAAATGATTTTTTTTTCCTGCAGACAAAGGTTCTGTCCATAGATTTAACATGCTGTGGAAAATGCCCCAACATATTGGAGAATATATTACTACGAATGCCTGGTAAGAAAATGTGCCCATTCATTTATGATTTATTTCGCTTCTCAAAACTTCCGGTACCAGTCTTTACGATTACGGATTTTCATTTCGTCGAAAGAGCAAGAAACTATTAAACATTAAAAAAAAAAAAAAACCAACATAGATGCATGTGTTTTAGTGTGAAAAAATGAATGTTAAAGATCATCGATATATTTCACTCGATGTAGCATGAAGTAATCCATTCTTTAGGGTAAAAAATCAAATACTATGACATAATCCTTCATAATCGAAACTGATTGCTTTAATCTTGATTATCTATTGTTAACCGACTAATCTATCAAATTCCTTTTTGTATACCAAGGGGTTGATTCTGTATCTATCGACACAGAAAAGGGACTAGTATTCGTGACAGGGAAAATCGACCCAACGACATTGTTAGACAGAGTTTCCAATCTAGGAAAGGAAGTCCGACTCTTGCCAAACAACCAAGATACGGAGGAAAAAATACACGAGCACACAACAAGACAAGGCAGAGACAAGAAGTATTCAACTTCTCGAGAAAAGGGACAAAAATCCCACAAAAACTGCTGCTGCCAGGACGGGCGCCATTATCAGAAGAAAGAGGAGAATAAGAAGGAAGAAGAAGCGCATAAATGCGAAGCTTACGTGGCCCCAAATATTGACCCGCGGGTGTGCAGAGATTTTTACTGCAAAATACACCCTAAAATGCGTAAAATAATCGATAGGGTACCTGCGGACAGTTCTTCATGGTTTGGGGGTTTACCATTCCATAGTGGCTATGGTCCTTATGGGGCGGAATCGTACATTTACCCAGGGTATTACGGGGAGGAGCCGCCCCGATATGGGTACCCCCGCCCACACCCACCGCCAAGTATGCTTCAACACCCCTTCGGTTTTCATTAGAGAAGCACAACTATGAAACAATAAGACTATACTTCTTTTTCTTGCATATAATTGTATTCTATTTGTCCCATGGATTTTTCATGATAGGGTACAACAATTTGTTATTTGACTTTTCAATTTTTTGAACCTTAGTTTGTTTCCATCTGATCGGGCCAATTTTATTATCTTGAGAATTTCAAATGTGATTTCTATTGACAAAAAACACAAGGAGAAAAGAAGACATGATTCCGATTGACAAAAAACCTAGTTAAGGAATATTATTATGCCTATGTGGCATCACCATGTGTAATTGCTGCTTTTCTCCGATCCTGTATAACTATGTATTCGTGTTATTTGTTCGTGCGATGGAAACTCGGATTTTTCTGTGTTCGATTTTTATTTCGATTTTCATGAAGATGTTGAAACTTGTTTTTAGCTTTGGCAAGACTTGTATTGTACCTCAATTGTATTTTACTTTGGTTAGTTTAGTTGAGAGATTAATATGGTATTATTATATTCTACTTTGGCTAATGGAATTTTCTAAACACTAAATAATATTATCTTGTCAAATATATTATAAATAATAATATAAAATAAACAAATATTTTATTAGTGTATATATATATATATATATATATATATATATATATATATATATATATATATATGTAGAGGCACAGAGCCCCACCCACCGTTAATTCAATTATTCTGGGAACCAAACCGCAAAAAAAGGAAGAAAGAGAGTCCCCCCACACACTCCATCTCCATTCCTTCACCGAAGAAATTTCCTCTCTCAAACCCTAGTTCGATTCGATTTTCACCCCCTTCTTCACTTGCTAACCGATCGTAGCTAGATCGGTGGAATTTAATCGATTGAGTATCTGTCTTGTGACACGGTGTGAATTAATTTTGGAAAAAAAACGAAGATGGTGTCGGCGAATAGGGAGATGGTGGTGTACTGCTTCGACACACTGGTGGCCCACTACAACGGCGAGGAAGCTCCTCCTCCCGCTTTCGACGAGGGTCAGCAGTAAGGAATTCGCCCTTCTTTCTCTCTCTACAATTTTGCATGTTTTCTTCGTATTAAGTAGGTGTTTGTTGTTATATGTGATAATTGCAATTGTGTTTGATTTTGTCAATTTTTGAGCTCGTTTTTTGGTGGATTTAGTGTGATCTTTGCAATTTTATGTACAATGGTGTGTTTTTCGACTTGAAAATTTGCGTGTACATATGAAGAATAGGTGCCTGTGCTTCTTTTGAAAGATGTCGTTCAATTTACACTGCAGTATGTATTTACATGTGGTCCGGATGCGTGCATTGCTGTTTTATTCGTTTTGGTTTTCCGAAGTTTTTACTCGAGCTACTGCAATATTTTTCTGCCAACTGTTGTTTCCTAATAATACAATATTTCTGAAATTACATAACTTTGGGATTGGAAATAACTTAAGAAGTATTTGTAATGAAGATGTAATCACATATTCGCCTGGAAAAAAAAATCCAATCTATCGGGATTGAACATCGTGCGTAATTATTTTAAAATTTCTCATCTTTTATGACTTTATCGTTTGAGATAAATAACAAACATACGGCTGCTCTCTTTCGTTGGTTTAGATTTTTTGAAATGATCTGCTCTATACCTAAAATAACTGCATGAGGATGACCGGAGTTATTTTGATGTATTGTTTCAGCCCGTTGTTTGTGACTTGGAAGAAGGCCGTCAATGGTGGGGAGCCTCGCTTACGAGGATGCATAGGGACTCTGGAAGCTCGCTGCATAGTTAATGGTTTCAAGGATTATGCTTTAACAAGGTAACTAAGGATTTTCTTTTTTCAACTTCAAATGCCGAAAGGACTTTAGATCTTGATGGTCATGATTTCCGAGACATCATAGTTGAGTAGTGTATATTCTTAAGTGCATTTGCTGCATTTCTCTGCTTTTGAATCATTTACGTTACATTTTTGAAAGTTGAAACCCATAGTCGATTGATATACATGCCGTTTCACTGTGAAACAAACATGTTCATTCGATATGGTCGTGTCCTATCTTATATCATCTGCCCTTCTATTTTTTTTTTCAAATTGGGAAGAAGTACTCAAATGACAGGCGAAACTCACTCGTTTCAGTTAGGAGGATGGATTGTGTTAAATCACGACAATGCAGAAACTTGAGCACATATGGAGTTTACTGATTAATAGAAAACCTTTTGCTTCGAAATATGAAAAGTATTTATCTGATTGTAATCTTTTCTCTCAAAAGGTAGAACAATGGGGTTTTTTTATACCATTTCGTTGTTACGTGTTAAATTGGATTTTTAATAAGGTCGACTTGTTTTCCTACGAATCTCGGTGCGCAAAATCATTCAACTTGTTGTTTTTATACTGTGCAGTGCCCTCAGGGACCGCAGGTTCCCCCCAATACAAGCTAAAGAGCTGCCTAACTTGGAATGTACAGTTTCCATCCTGACCAACTATGAACCTGCTCGCGACTACCTCGACTGGGAGGTCAGTCAGTTCCCGTAAACAATTTTCAAATATTTTTCACATTTATGCCATAACCTATTCTTGGATTTTCTGAATAAATTTCGTGTCTACGCAGGTGGGGAAGCATGGCATAATTATTGAATTTGCTGATCCTGATTACAACACTAGGCGAAGCGCCACCTATTTGCCTGAGGTTGCTGCTCATGAAGGTAAACTTTCAATTCTCCTCTTTACTCGGAAACAAGTGATAGAAATCGAGTGACAAACCATAATTTTCTAATGATTGTTATTATTTTAATGATACAAGGGTGGACGGTGCTCGAAGCAATCGACTCGTTGATTAGAAAGGCAGGTTATAGTGGGAAAATCACTGGACAGCTGCGAAAGAGTATTCAACTTACTCGTTACCAGAGCACACTATTCACCATGCACTATGGTGACTATGTTGCCTATGTGAAGACAATTAGAGGTGCTGCCCCGACTATTAATGGGGCAAAACCGACCAATTATTGATAAGCTTCTTTTACTTTATTTAACCTTCCGTTCCGATTAGGGAAGGTTAGTTCATTTAAAACAAAAAGAAATTATGGATGCAACTAATTATTGTACCCATTCTGCTCAATAATTATTTTACTTATTGTGTTGTTGTTTTAATGCTGTATTTGGTAAATGAATTGTGTTTGAAGTTCTAGGAACAAAGGTGCTATGTTATGTTGTATAACTTTGTGGTGTTGTAATATAATTTTACAATGTGTTATGGTTGTGTTTCAGCTTTTATTTTTTTTTACAAATATACCCCCCAAAAGTATAGGGGTATATTTATAAATACATTTTTACTATATAAATATGCTATATAAATATATAAGTTTTTATTTATATATAAATTAATTCTATATATTTACATACAAAAAGTTTTCAAAATAAATTTTACTATTAACTAGCAATCTACAATTGATCACTAAATTATGTACATAATTAAGATGCAACAAAATTATTTGAAAATTTAATTATTCAAACATGTTTCTAACTTTTTAGAAATTGTAAAATGGTTCATAAGGTGTCTAGCACGTGTCGGGACGCCGAAACATACATAAAAGTGTGCCCGAAAACATAAAAATTTGCCCGAAATTCAGAAATGTTAAACAGTTGAAGTTTTCATAAAAGTGTGCCCGAAAACATAAAAATTTGCCCGAAATTCAGAAATGTTAAACAGTTGAAGTTTTCGTGTACATATAGTCTAAGAATTAATTTGATTGGCGATAATTTCCAAAAAGGAAAAATAATAAAATAAATAAATTAAAAAATATTAAAAATAAAAAAAGAATGGGTAGTAAAATCCAACAAGGAAACAAAGTAGCAGATGCATAATAAATAAAATTGGACAGTTAATTTGATCCACGTCTACTAATTCTTCTGCAACTCTTTTAGAGCGAGAGAGCGACGACCTTCTCACAATTTTCTTCACGCCAAAGCAAAACAACAACACACAAACCCATCGTCATCAAATTAATCTCCACTGCACCAAACATTCTTCGATCGCTCGAAAATACTGAAACAAAAATCCTCAATTACAGTTTCGAAGGTTGTGATTCTCGTCTCTTCTATTTTCGATGCCTTCTAGTTTTTCTGCAATTTTGTTTTTGACTTTTTTTTTAATCTGCCTCGTTATCTTCGTCTGTGTAATTTCTATATCATTCGGTTGTGAATTATTGCTCGTTTGGTGCTTGTTTGCGGTACGATACTTACCGTGCTAGGAATTTTCAATTTCGTCAAGTTTTTGATGGGGATGTTTATAATTTTGACTTCATGATTTAGGGTTAATGTTTTCTGGCATCATTGATGTTATACGATCCAGTAGAATACCCAATTATATGCTCGTATATCTGTATATTGTCATGTTGATTTGTATTTCATACCACATGATCTGTTCTTTTGGCTGGGATAGAATGTATTTTAATTTGCTGGAGTACAGTTTTTTTTGTTTAATATGATTAGATTATTAATTGCTGCTGCTTATCGAATTTTTTAGGTCAATTTAGGACATATTGTCGGGGCTAGAGGGTTATTGGATTTACGAAGATGACTCCAAAGGGCTTGATTTATAGCTTTGTTGCGAAAGGGACTGTGGTCTTGGCAGAGCACACCCCTTATTCTGGAAACTTCAGCACAATTGCCGTCCAGTGCTTGCAGAAGCTTCCTTCTAACAGCAGCAAGTACACGTACTCGTGCGATGGACACACTTTCAATTTCCTAATCGACACTGGATTTGGTATTTAAATTTTGCTACACGTACTTTTCGCCTAAGGACTTTTACCGCTTATATCATCACATCTAACAGCATTTTTTTTTAATTCTTGTTGGGCCGGCAGTTTTCCTTGTTGTTGCAGATGAAACAATGGGAAGAAGCATACCTTTTGTGTTTCTTGAGAAGGTGAAGGACGACTTCAAACAACGTTACGGTGACATCATCAAGAGTGATGTTCCGCATCCTCTAGCCGATGATGACGAAGATGATGATCTATTTGAAGATAGATTTAGCATTGCATACAATCTTGATCGAGAATTTGGGTATGTAACTTTTTTTTTTGCTTTTTGGAAAAAAATATGACAACGTTAATCTTCTATTGTCTTGACATAGTCTGGACTTAATATTCTGTTTTGTATACTAGGCCGAGGCTGAAGGAGCACATGCAGTATTGTATGAATCACCCGGAGGAAATGAACAAGCTTTCCAAGTTGAAAGCTCAAATAACAGAGGTCAAAGGGATAATGATGGACAACATTGAGAAGGTACACTTTCAGTCTGTTATACTACTTGAGAACTAACTAAGAATTCATGATATGGTGGGCTTGAATCTAAATTTTATAATGGTAGTAATTCTTTTTATTTTGATTTAATTGGTTATTACACTTTTTTAACCCCTTTCCTCGCCTTCGTTGTCTTTATTATGGTTTTCATTTGTTAAACATAACTTTACATAGCTGAGGGTGAAAATTATTTTAGTCATAGATAATTAATGAGATGTTTATGACGCACGTAGTAAATGTTTAAGTTAAGTAAGTTTATAGTCGTGCTTCGCTGTATCTTGTCAAATTTATGTGTCGCAGTAAAACAACTCTGTTTGTACATCCTCTCTTTCTCACACTCGCGCACGCACACACTTACAGACAAAAGATAGACTCAATCACATACATGTGTGTCCTAGTCCACTTGCACGTGCATCTCAAGGGAGACAATGTTTGAATCGTAAATTGATTATTCTTTAATGACTTGGGTTGTCAGTTCTAGTTGAGTTATCAGTACTCATAATCCACTTGTATTTGCCATATGGTTAACTAAAAACTAAAATGTCAAGATTTATTTTTCGGGATCCACTAGAGGAAGCTCCACTTGTCGCTCTTCGCTCACGCTTTTTCATAAATAACTGATAAGTACACACATAATCTCATATGCATGCGAGAAGCCGAGAACACTACACGTGTATTACAGGATAATTAATTTCAGTCAAAATACTAATGATTATTAATGATTTGGATACGGGTAATTAATTTTCTTGTTAAGGAATTGATAGTCAAGGCTCGATTTTATTTGCTCGGGGTCCAATAAAGAAAGTCAAATGCCATGATCTACCTGTCCCCAACGTGAAAATCTTCTGTCCCTTTTCTCTCTGGCATGTACATGCATGCGCATTCAGTTGCACACTCATCCAGTTTGTGAAACTTATTTCCCCCCATATTCCCTTGTATCTCTTCCATATGTGCTTCTTTGGCTTTCCTAGGCTCTGTTTACAATTTATATTAATTTAATTACATGTCCTAATCCTTATGTATTTTTGGCTGTGAGTATTCTTTAACTGGTTATTTTATGATATTTGTGGGAGCTTTGGGGGTTGGGACCACGGCGACTCTATGCCATAGTAAAATTCGGACTCAGTTGAAGTTATACCTATATATATTGACAAAGGAATGAAATCTAGCTGAAAACACACATATAGAACTTAGGTCTACCAGATGCAAAATTTGTTAACTATAGAGGTTCATCTAATGGTTGTATTCAATATTCCAGCTTCACGAGCTTCAGATTTTATAAGTATTCCTCGTTCTTCTTAATAGCAGATGTACTTTCTGATCTGATCCTTCGTGTTCTTCTTACAATATCCTAGTTTGGAAACGGACTTTGCACTCATCCTTCCCCTGCGAGCATAGCTTTTTCTAACTGTGAAGAAACTGAAACTTAGTATACGTGTTTCCAATCATAGAAAATTTTGCAATCTTGAATAAGCGAGTCTTTAAATTAATTAGCTTAACGTGTTTCCAATCTTCAGGTTTTGGATCGTGGTGAAAAGATTGAATTGTTGGTAGATAAAACCGAAAATCTTCAGTTCCAGGTGAGATATATACTCCGTTCCAGCCTTGAAAATTTACAGACAAACCACTTAGGTTTAATTTTAACGTGGTATTGGGAAATTTTGTTCAGGCCGACAGTTTCCAAAGACAAGGAAGGCAGCTACGTCGTCAAATGTGGATGCAAAATCTTCGCATGAAGCTGATGGTTGGTGGGGCTATTCTTGTCCTAATCTTCATTATCTGGTTAATACTTCGTTAAAATTTCGGAAGTTTGGTTATGGAAAGATGTTGTGTTTCTGTTTATGTACAAAAACTGGCAGTTCTACTACTTTATATATTTATTATTCCTAATGTTCACTTTCGTTTGGTTAATCTTTATTTTACAATGGAGAGTTAAGTATTTTTATTTTGGGTAATCTTGTAATTACAGATAGATGGTAATGCCGCTAGTAGGTCTTATAGATGCCACACTGTGTGAAATGCGTCGCGTAATATAGATCGTAAATTACGAAATCTGTTATTGATCGTAAATATCTCGTTTTGAGCTCGATTTACCACAGCGGGTGAAATGCATCGCGTAATATAGATCGTAAATTACGAAATCTATTATTGATCGTAAATATCTCGTTTTGAGCTCGATTTACCACAGTGGGTGAAATGTTACGCTTAATATAGATCGTAAATTACGAAATCTATTATTGATCGTAAATATCTCGTTTTGAGCTCGATTTATGAACGTAGCGAATAAAGTTAAAAAAGGTTTGTTTATTTGACAAGAAAGAGAACTTGACACGAACTCGTACTCGTTTAATTAAAAATATGAAATATGTAAAACGAGAGTTCAAAATCAAGTGTATTTCGATTAAAGCACATTCAAAATCAATTCTTTTAGTAATCAAATCATACTCAAACATAATTCGATGTGAATTCAAACAAGTTTGCGCGCACGCACACACACAAAAACAAAAAAAAAAAAAAAAAAAACCGTATTTCGACCTCGAAATTTTACTACAAAAAAACAACTGTTAACACGAAGAAAAAAACCATCAAAGATTTATAAGAGGGAGTGTGCAGAAAAGGCATATGTGATTAGTGATAAAACAAATCCATAATCACCAATCAGATTCCTAATGCATTTAAAGTACAACTCAGACATACACAATTCCAACCTTACATGTATTTAAACCTCAACAGAATTTGAATGCTCACACACAAATAAACACACACACACACGTATACACAGTGCTGTGTGTATATATATATATACACACACACACACATATATAAAACCTTTCTGTATCTGTCTTTACGTGGGTAAACATGTAATTTCACATGTACACTGTCATGCTTAAAAGCCCTCCCCTCATTCACAGTAAACCCCATTCTCTTTATTACCATCTCTTCTTCTTTCTCCATCTTTTCGACCATGTCCGAATACAAGTATGTCAGCCTGAAAGATGTCCTAAGAAATCAGCCGAACCCGAAACTCGAGCCGAAAGTTGTGTCTTCGGAAGAGGAACCTGATTTTCAACATGTTTCTGTAATGTTGAACAACAAGTTCCCTCCGAATGCAGCTTCTTCTTCTTCGTTCTCCGTGTCGGAAAAGGACAACGGAGAAGAGGCGGCGAAGAAGAAGAAAAGGACGACAAAGAAGAAGAAGAAGGTGGGGCTGTCGTCGTCTTCTTTGAAACATTCGAGAAGCGACGACCCTTTGGTTTACATGGAGTTTGGTGGAGAAGACGGTGGCGTGTTTAGCCCTGGTCAAGATTTGCAAGTGCTTTGTCAAGAACTCGACAAATTCTCTTGGGAGGACCGAAATACCCTCAAGTCGAAGTTTCTTTCCGAATCGGACGCCGAAGAGGAGAACGAGGAGGAAGATTAAGAGAGATGAAGAAGAAGAAGAAATGGATGGGGTAAAATCAAGAAAGTTGGCCAACTCATTTTTCTAGGGTTTCATTTCTTTTTTTGCTTTTTTTTTTTTAAATTTTATTTAATAGTTGTGTTAGATGAATTTGTTGAGTTGGATCTATGTTGAATTTTATTTTGTTGCTGCAATAGTTGTGTTAGATGAATTGTTGAGTTGGATCTATGTTGAATTTTATTTTGTTGCTGCAACAATTTTGAGTTGATTGATTGTATTTCTCATATGGATTGGTGCAACTAACAAAAAAAATCAAAATTGATGCAATAGAATTTTTATGTTAAGGAATTAATTTTCTTCTTCCTGTTCCATTCATTCTATTTGA